TCTCACCCTTCTTCCAGTTTTATAGATAAGGACTGGTAATTGTCTTTATGGAGGTTGTAATGAGTTCTGTCACCACACAAAGAAGCTCACTAATAAAATAAATCAAAGCAGCAATGAATGAATGGAAGGCATGCTTTTAAAGTTAGATTTGTACTGCAAGTGCCATCCTGTCACTTGCAGCATGAGACAGTGTTAAAAAGGCACTGAGTTGGCAAAGTACCTTGAAAGGGTCGCTGAGCTCTGCTAGCAGGAATTGGGAAGCTTTCCATTGCCCCCCTGCAGCACTGGTAACTGCAGCATCATTTGGGAGTAAATACTTTGTAGCATGATTAGGAAAAGAGGACATAAAACTGATCTTAGATTTAACTTGTTCAGTAACTCAGCTAAGTAGCTTTTCTTATCTTATCATGATGTGTTTATGTAATGTCATCTTCTGTGCCTGGAGTCTTGTACCAGCCTGGGGACTCTTGGCCCAACATCCCACCAGTTCTGCCTAGCTTCCTGTGCGCCCTGCCTCTCCCATGTACCACTCGGTCGATAAGCGCTGGCTGTGTTACTGCTTCACAAGATCTGCAGTGCAAGGACAGTGCTCTCCTCTCTAGCTGCACACTGACTGCAGGGATCTGTTTCTCACGTTAGGTAGGGACGTTGTGTTTTCAAAGATGTGTATTCACGGTGGCCTGACTGAAAGCCTTTCTGTGGAGATCAGGGGCAAGTGAGGCATCCTGTGGGCACGCAGCAAGGAGAACAAGCTGGTGTTTTTGTTCAGGCTTGTGTTGCACTGAAATGCAGCTGCTGGTGAACTGATAGGGCTTTCTTGCTGCAGGGTGCAGTGCACAGTGTAAGAATATGGGATGGTGAGGAGTGTGTGTGTCTGTGCAACTGAGCTCTAGGCTTCTTCATCTATTCTTGCAGGTTTTTATAGTTCCCGGATCTGTTTCAGCTCTTACAGCCTTGCACAAGCCATTTCTGTCATAGAAACAGAAAACATCCCCAAGTTCTTGTTTTCTCAGTCTACCTGTTAATTTCCTAGCAGAGAAATCACACTGTGGCCCTCTGCAGCAAAAAGCAAAGCAGCTACAGAATAAGAAGCATTTCTAATTCCACTGGAAACTTCACAGAAGCTGAGTGCTAGTTTCTTTTTTCATCTTCGTCTCTTCTGTACCAGCCTCTCAAGACACAGCAGGGACAAAAAGAATGAAATTCTGTAGAAAGAATGTTTGTCAACTTTCTTCTTGTCTCTCTCTCCATAATGACATGTAATTAAGTACCTTGAACTTTAGAAGTTGCCTGTGAAAAATATCCTCTAGCTGAGAGCAACCAACCTCCATTAAGTTATACGCAGTCAGCAAATGACTGTAATTATTAGGGCCAGTAGACAGAGCTGAAACTCCAGAGGACTTTAGTGTCAGAGCTAATAATTATGCAGCAGCCTTGGCCAAATATTTCTCTTCCGAGCTAAGTATTTAATATTGTCACTGTAGAATATTAATGGAATTGCCTGCTATGTGTGAAGCTGTTGACTAAGCTCATTGTACAGTGAACTGCGGTGGCTCAAATTAGCCACAGTGAATGGAGAGATGAAGAACACTGCATCAGCCTGCAGCACCAGTGGACCTTCTTAAATACTGCTGCCTTCAGGGCATTAACATAAGATCTGGGGACAAAATGAAGGGCAAGACAGTGTCATGCTTCAAGAATTCATAAAGTAATTTCTTTTGCATACTGAAGTCATTTCTTTTGCATACTTTTTTTTTAAAGTATTGATTAGATACCTCTGGAAGGCACATATGAATATATTTCGTAAGCCTAATGAAGTAGATTGGCTGGTTCAGAAAACATCTCCTTTGGTTTCACTTGGACAAAATTATTACATCTGTTATATAAACAGGGAATGAAAGAAAGTTGTTGCAGGGTGTTGTTACAGAGTGAAATCTTCCCAGATGGGTAAAGATTGTGGGCCTAATCTAGACATTAACCAAGCATCAAGGTAGTCGTCTTCAACTAGCAGTGTGTTCCAGTGACTTTCTGAGGGCTTTTTTAAAGCTAATTATGTTTTCACCAGGCAGGGATTTCTACTTACTTGTAAGGCTGCAAAAGCAATGAGTGTATGTCAGCAATGAAACCATATGAGAGTAGTGATAACCACGAGAAGAAGTAGCAACTTCTTCTGATTTATGGCACTTGAACAGACTCATGAATTTCTTGGAGTGCTTTGTGTAACACATGACCTGTGCTTCAGAGATGGCCTCCCTTTTACAGCAACTTTACAAGACCTACACCCAGGTCTTATATGGCAGTCCAGTTTAACTGTTGTGGTTACTGTTGCTGAAATAACACATCAATTTAAAGTGTGCTGTGTGTTGCTCTCTGGGTGCTTGGATGGTTTTTTTTTCCTGTTCTTTTCTCTAAAGAATACAAAATTGAACTGTTTAGCCATTGGGCTTGATAGCACTTGTGCTAAATCGAGGCTTGCTGCATATCTCTAAGCAGGTAGTTACAGGATTTGAGACTAAGGCAAAGAGGGTGTTTGGAAGAGAGTGTACTTTAAAACATCTGGGTTAAGCTTTTTCATAACTTGAAAGTCTCTCTTTTGGGTTTTGTTTTTTTTTTTTTCTTAATTTTTCTCCATATAACCAAGAGTGAATCTGTATCTCTGCTGTTCCACAGGTATGGATGTGTGGAGGTCGCATGGAGGACATCCCTTGCTCTAGAGTTGGTCATATCTACAGAAAATATGTTCCATACAAGGTTCCAACAGGAGTCAGCTTGGCAAGAGTAAGTGGCAATGGCATTCCCCACGACAGATGTCTGGCTGCAATGTGACCGTGCTGTTGTCTCCTCTCACCCCACAGTGGGAGGCAAATGTAGGCTTTGTAGTCCATAAATTGTACTTGTACAGTGGTCAAATTGAGCAGTTTTGCAGTGGTGGATGTGTAGCACAAAGGGAAGAGAGCCTAGGGGAGCTGCAGACTTGTGTGCAGACAGCTGCCGTGCTCCAGACATCAGCCATTGCTAGGTGTTGGGAAGGGACTTTGTGATCAGGCACTGGCTATGGAATCACCAATAAAAACAAGACATGGCTTTATTTGTTTAATACTTTAGTCATTTTATAGCTGTGCTCTCCAAGACCAGCAGGCTTCAGCGTGATGATTGTGTTTTGATGATTGTGTTTTGGTGATTGAAAGACCTCTCCACTTCAAGCATCACAGACCACTGAATGGGCAAGCTGTAATTTTCCATGATGGAATGTTCTGTGCCATCTTATTTCTTAATCTAGTGTAGCCCAAAGAGGAAAGAGCTTTTGCCTATCATGTACTAGCTTTCTCCAGTTAATTTCTAAAGTGAGAAGGGATTGTATTGCCCTCTGGTGGGAGAAAAATTATCATTGGAGCAGGAAGGCTGCAAAACTAAAAAACACAAAAAGGTACTCTGCTGTTCTTCAGTCTTAAAATGCTTGCACAGTGTTAAAATGTTTCCCAGTTTAATAGCATCACCAAAGAGATTTGGATTTATTACTGAGCCCAGCAGTGACCTGTCAGAGCAATAGAGTGCTCTCCTGTCTGTGTCATCTCTTCAGGAAGGAGCTATATTTCTTTTGGTTCAGTACTTGGCTCTTTTGTACTCCCATAGTGCTGGAAGGAGATGGTGGACAGGTATATGAAAGGCTGCTTCTTGGCATCTAAGATCGTACAGTCACCTTGAGATGATCACCTGCTCTTGCTGTGTATTGGCTGTATTTGGGGCAGGGTCAGCACAGTGCTCATTCTTAAAGTCCTAATTTTTTTGGTAGTAAATGACCACTGCTGGACTGACCACCTTCATGCAAGGTGGGCAATGCTGCTGGGTCACTGAAGTCATGGCTGCACATGGCACGTTTCTGTGTGGCACCAAGAACGTACCTGGTGTTGCCAGAGAACAGTCCAAGGTCCAACAGGGTGTGTTGTGACAAGCAGCAGGACAAGTATCTCCAGAGCATGGTGTTCATTGCTGGCTTGGAATTGCACAGTGGATTCAGCTTACAGCAATATGTGAAATATACTGCTGCCAGCAAGTAAACCCTTTGCTTCTGTTCTGAAGGGTCATCACCTGAACGTTCCGTATTCTGCAGTATCTCAGAGTTTCTCTTTAACAGCTTCTCTTTTTTAACAGTTTCTCTTTAACCCAAGAAAACAGGAAAATAGTGGTAAGAAAGAATATTGTGAACTAAAGCTTTCTGGAAGAGACTACTGCAAATCCCATCCCTAAATGAATATAAAAGATGCAATAAGAAGGATTTAAGAAAGCAGCTTTTTGTCAGGGACCTTTGAATGTCCAGTGTTATTTACTGGCATCATTTTCTGACTAGCTTCTTTACAGCAAAAAAAGGAAAAAAAAAAAAAAACCTTAACTTTTGATTAGTAGTGTTTTTCTTTGCCACAAAAAACTAGATATAATGGCCAAGTGCCAGGATTCTGTTTTGACCTCAGCTGAAAATATCTCTATAAAAGTCCCTTGGAACTAGAGGATAATAAAAATAATCTTTGTCTAAAGCGGGAGAGAAAGAGTGGATGTGAATGAAAATCCTTTCTGAGCAAAACCACGAGAGCTATTCTGAATGTAACGTCAGTAGTTTGTGCAGTGTTCTCAGGTGTTTGTCCCTCTCCTTTTCACATGTGGCTGTTACCCCCACAGAACTTGAAGCGAGTGGCTGAGGTGTGGATGGATGAATACGCAGAGTACATATACCAGCGTAGACCAGAGTACCGGCATCTTTCTGCAGGGGACGTGGCGGCCCAGAAGGAACTTCGCAACAACCTCAACTGCAAAAGCTTCAAGTGGTTCATGAACGAGGTTGCGTGGGACTTGCCAAAGTTTTACCCACCAGTGGAACCTCCTGCAGCTGCTTGGGGAGAGGCAAGTTTGTGCTCTGAAATCTTCAGTGGGCAAACAGGCTGTGGTTTGGTTGTTTGTTTTTTTTAAAGTTGCCTTACCCATGTGCTCTAGTACCATGAGTAAGGTGGCAAGCAAGTGTTTAAAGATCCTGCTTGGTATGTTTCAAAGACCAGAATTCCTCTACCACTGGCCTGATCAAAGAAGGCAGGTAGGCAGCTGTTTCTGTTAGTGCACAGCTACAAAGAGAATAGAGACCTGGCTTGTTCTACATGTTGTATATTTAGTAGAAGGCAGAACATGCCAACAGGGAGGACTAGGGAGAGGTGACAGCTGATCAACAGTAGAAGTCTTGTATTTCACAAGTGTGGTGAGCTACTCTGCTCCTTAGCTTTCCCATCTGAAAGCCAGAAAAACCATCCCTGTTTTTTAAAGTCAGCATGTTCTGGGAAAAGAATCACCCTGGGAGTGAAGTCGTGGATTGTTACACACAACAACATAGTGGCCTCTGCAGTCCTGTTGCTGATGGGTTTTGCTGTGTCCTGGAGGTTATTGTACAGCAGGCGATGGGTCCCATTTTGAGTTCCTGTGCTTTCTTTTAGCTGTTATCTGCCAGCTCAGATACACAGTTAAGTGAGGAATCTTAAAACTGTCTTCTTATAAATACTGCCACTATTTGAGGCAATTTAAGCCGCTTTTCCTGTCAGTTGGTAAGAGTAGGAGTTTCAGTGACTAATTTACTATTTCAGATACGCAATGTAGGAACTGGACTGTGTGTGGATACTAAACACGGAGCCCTGGGATCCCCACTGAGGCTGGAAAACTGTGTGAAGGACAGAGGAGAGGCAGCATGGAACAACGTGCAGGTAACAGTCCCTCAGATAAATCATTGGCCCCTGAATAAACTTGAGGAGGGAGAAGATATAAGAACAAATGTTTGAGAAGGAAGGCCACTGTGGAACGCTGTCAGGTGAACAGAGGGTGCTGTGCACCCCAGGGCTCATGTGCTAATTATACTTGATGGGCTTGTAGCAGGATGTGGCTTGTGCTTGTGGCAGGGTCTGGAGCCTGGTAGACTTTGTGCAGAGCTTTTACCTCAGCTTTGAAGTTCCCAGAGTGAACAAAAGAAAGCACAAGAAAACAATATGCCAAAATAATAAAAGAAACCAGTAACAAGGCAGCTGTAATATGTAACAAAGTGAATATTAACTTCAAAGGTTGTGCTGAAAGAAGTGATAGAGGAGCATCATGCATATTAATGAACCTGCAGGAGCATTCAATAACCACTTACTATCATCCTTCTGACAGGAGGAAAATGCATTATAAACACCCAACCATTGCTGGAGAGAGATGAAACCAGCCAGGCTGTAGATTCACCCTCTCAACATATAAGGTGCCAGAAATGACAGCTTTATTGTAACAGAAGGGAAGGAAATATTAGTTTGTCTAAACTGTAGCAGCTGAGCTGAGAAAAGATCAAGAAAACAATGCCTCTATTATAGAGCCATGCATAACTCTTCAGGGGAACGGCTTCAATAGTAGGAGACAGAGGGTTGTTGCATATCAGTTTTAATGCATGAAAACTAGAAACAAAACCAATTTACTGGGGCACAGTCCAGAGCTAAGCTTCTGTTGTGTCAGGAGGATCTTGGACAATTAGTGTTGGCTTATGTTTAGGAAGAGAATGTGTTTTGAACTTCTCTGTAGCATTGAGCTTAAATGATTGTGGTAATTTGTCTCCCAAGAGAGGTTTAAAAGAGAGAGAGAAACGAAGTATCATCTTTATGCAAAACTTTCTTGGCCAGGCTGCTTCAAATAGTAGCACTCTGCTCATTACTGGTCTTTCTTACTGCCCTGTGAGATCTCTCTGAAGAGAGGACCATTCCTCCACCTGGCTCTAAAAGGAGCCCCCAGAACAACCCTTTCCCTCGAGGACTGAGAGAGGGGTGTCCTGGCTAGTAGTGCTGCAGACCCGTGCTGGCTAGTAGTGGTCACAGAGGACACTTGCACCCCCATCAGAGATGCTGTCCTTGTCAAAGTAGAAAGCAAAAGCTTTACAGCAGTACCCGCCTTTGAACAAGTTTATCTTGTGCGGGATTCATTCCTATGATGCTTCAAATGTGTCCTAAGCCAAGCCATGATCATCAGACTGAAGATGCAGCTTGACCACGCTACTCTCTCAAGCCGTGGCCAAAAGCAAATGTCACAGGGGCAGTGCAAGGAACGGAGCATGCATGTGGTGGTACCTTCCACCAACTGTTCTCCTGTGGTCCAGTCTCTGTAGCTCAGGGATTTCCAGGCCATATGTGCTGGCATCTGGCAGCTTTCATCAAGGCCACAGCATTGCCAGGCATCAATAGGATGTGCCTGGTCACTACAGCTAAAACCCTTTCTCTTCCTTTCTGTAGTATCTCTCATTTCACCCAAAAGTGTGAGAAGTCATTGCAGGGTCAGTAGAAGAGAGCACCAGGAAGCATTGCTGTAGTGATTGCCCTTCTGACACTCCTGTGGAGTGGTGTAGGGAGCTGTGGGCATCCTGGTCTCTTGTCACTGAAGGTGTGGGACAGACTTTTCTCAAGGTGACTGCAGGCTGCCTGTGCAGACTCAAGTATTTACTGCGAGCTTTACCTCGGAGCTCCTGTAGCTCTCTGCCTTTTTTGTTAGCTGTGAAGTGCTGTAATTGGTCAGCTGCTCACTTAATCCATGATGAATGTCTGCATTGCAGAGACATTCAGGGCTGTTATTAGTACCCAAGCTAACTAACATGGCTGTTTGCAGCAGCACAGTCTCATTTTGCATGCAGTGTGGCAGTCCGTGGGGTAGGTGTTACAGACTCCCCTAGTCAGCAGTCCCTGTCCCCAGAGGTGGAAGTAGTTTTCCTCTAGAAGATACTGTCCTTTCCCTGAAGCCATCCCCACCCTGTGGGCAGAGAAGGGAATGTCGTTCTGCTGGTGCCCAGTACCAGTCATCCTGAGGGTCCTGTTTGTCCTGGCAGGTATTCACCTTCAGCTGGAGAGAAGACATCCGTCCTGGGGATCCTCAGCATACCAAGAAGTTTTGTTTTGATGCCATTTCCCACAGCAGCCCTGTAACCCTCTATGACTGTCATGGAATGAAGGGGAACCAGCTCTGGAGATACAGAAAAGTGAGTGTTTGTGTCTGTGTGCATATTCTCATTTAAGGTGTCAGATTGCCTGTAGGCACTTATGTCACCACTGAGTTTTATTCCTTCTCTTAGCATAGCTGTGATCAGAGAATCTGCAGACAATCTGTTGTCATTGTGCCATTAACTGCCCTTGATTAGAAAGAGTGACTACCCTGTTCCACCGGTTAGAAATGGTGAGGGCTGCTTCTCCAGGGCTTGCTAAGCAGAAGAACTCTCTCCATGCAGTCCTGTCCACACCTGGCAGTGAGGTGCAACACCCTTGTAAAACCTGTTTGCAAGGAAGTGTGCTGTGTTTATTGGTTTGTTCTGAAAACTAGATGATCATGCCAAAAGTAGATAAGGATTTATACATCTTCCTCCCAAGCGATGCTTTTGTGGCCAACAGGGAAGTAAAGTCTTGACTAAATGCCCTATCCCAGTCCTCAGGATCAGCATGCGCTGTGCTTCGGAGTGACTGCAGCAGGATGTGAGCCTGGAGGCTGGAGAACCTGCCTTCAGACAGAGCTTTGGAGCTTCCCAGCACAGATACTGGGATTGGGCTGGGTACTGTCGTAAAGGCTGAGAATGGACCCAGACATTTGCCAAGCAGTTAAGCGTTGGAACAACTTCTTCAGATACATCCAAGTGACAAAATAACTTGCCTTAGTTTTTAAGACTTCTTTCCTGTTAGTTTTAAAACAGCTTTGCTTCTCTGCTTAGCAACCTTACATCAAATTTCTCTTCTCCAGGACAAGACCCTCTACCATCCAGTAAGCAGCAGCTGTATGGACTGCAGTGAGAGTGACCACAAGATCTTTATGAATAACTGCAATCCTTCATCTCCAACACAGCAGTGGATATTTGAACACACAAACTCAACAGTCTTGGAAAAATTTAACAGAAATCTTGATCTTTAAAAGACTGAGAAAAAATATATATATATATTTTACAATTATAGTTTTTACTGGGGAGGGTTACAAAAAATTTTTTTAAGAATACTTTTTTTTAAACAGTTAATGAAGGTAAAAGGGAGAATCTCAGGAGAAGGTTAACTAGCAGGCCAGTCTTTATTGCAAAGATGCTGCATCCTTCTCTTCTGGGGATGGTGGAATTTTAAAGGCTTTGCCAGAGCCACTTCTGTGCTGAGACTGAACAGAAACTCTGTTTTTAGAGGAGTCAGTGTGATTCAAACTGCTTTTTGTTTGTTTGTTTTATTTTATTTCCCACCTGGGTCTGGTGTTAAATGATTTTGTTATCTGGGACCCTCCAGGACTTTTTGTAGCTGCTATACTACCCGCTGAAGCATTCCCACATAGGTGCTTTATCTTCCAAAGTCCATGTAAGTAGAATCTCAAACACAAGATTAAATCCTCTGTTGTCATAGACATAAAAAAGAAAAGGGGGGCCATGAAAATGTAAAATTAAATTAATTCTTTTTCCCCCTAAACAAAAATATATTTCAAACAGATTGAGTATTACTGCTTTCCAAATCATAGCTCTGATAAAGGAATGAGCTCTAGTGGAAGTGCAGCCAAGTGTTGGGAATATCACTGTCGTTATTAGCGATGAGGAATCTGGGTTTCTGGTCCATTCGCTTTGCAGTCAGTTTGTCACTCACTGTTGAATCTTCAAGGTGAAAGATTAGCAGAGGGTTTTTAAGTAAGCACAGTTCTTACAGGTGAAGATTTTTGCTAAGAGCCTTTGGCTATCAGGTTCCAACTTTGCCTCTTATTCAGAATCTTTTTAGCACAGACACATCTAGGGTTTCTGAGAGTTCAATCTACTGCATGAAGGCAACTTCTGTTTTTCCTTTAGAGATTTGAAGGCTAACTTAATTCACAGTTGGTATGAGCAGATTAATTCAGGATAATTAAGTCAGGGCTGAGATTAGCCAGAGGTGTTTATCCATTTGTTCTTCAGTCTGTAGTTTGTTGCAGTCATGAGCTCTGTGGTCAGTAGTATTCTAGCCTTGTGGGAATGTGGTATTAATCTCTCCTCCTTTCCCAACATCCGCAGCACTGTACAGTTTACTGTGACTGGAAATCTGTTTGCTTAAGCAGAGATGTAGGATTGATGGGCCAGTTTCACTAGTACCCTGTCCCTTGTGTAGTCAGTTAGCCATACAAGGTGTTACCCTCCTGGTTTGGCTGCAGGATCTGCCAGACATTGAACCAGAATTACCTCATCCCAGGAGCTGGAAAAAAGTACTGACACTAAAGGATGAATGGAGGACCGTTGGTTTCAAGTCTGAAGCAAGTGTTTAAAAGAAAGCCACACTGGCTGAAGTTGTTGCAAAACCAGATTAAATAGTTCAGCCCACTTAGCCTGATGCTGAAGGCAGCAGTGGCATGTTCTGGTGAAGGCTGTGGATGACGGTGCAGTTAACCTTTTGCAAAGATGCTGCGCAAATCAATAAAACTGGCCCTTTTCCAGTGACTGTCCAGCTCTGCAGTTTGTCCAGCTGAGGAGGCAGTGTGCAGCCAGCTCTGAGCTGAAAGGCTGGAGTGCTCAGGGTAGGCATGGGGCACCCCTCTGGGACTCTTGATAAAGCACGGTTAATGGACATCCTCCCCTTGGGGGGCAGGGCAGCTCTGCTCTGGGGTGTCTTTCACTCATGTGAAGGCAAGGAGATTTTTGCTCAGTGTTAAGAAGCAGGCAGGCTGGCCTCCTCTGCAGAGCTCCAGAAGTAAGAAGCCCTTTCTGATGATGCCAACTGTACGATCATTGTCCATGTTTCAGATGTCTTTGAGGCCATGTAGCGCTGTGTCTGTCAAGCTGGGACACAACTAGGTGCCTCTCAAGCTCTCAGGTCTGATGTGTTGACTGTGGGGCTCAAAATCATTTCCACCTCTCTCATCCTCACAGCTGAGGCTACATCTGACCTGTTCTGCCAGCTTACCTGGCCCATGCAGTCATGAAGCAAAGGAAGCAAGGGCACTGCATTGCAGATGGGTCTGGGCTTGCCAAATGTGTTTGTGTCTCACATTTTGGGAATGAAGAAGCTCTAGTCTTTCCTTGTGCCAGTTTTGCAGCAGTATTGTTATGGAAGTGAGACCAGTGTCAAACAGAGTTGACATCTTACGTTCTCAGTTACTACGATATGTCTGTCATCAGGATCCCTTTTCATTTCTGTGGGAGACAGCGATCCCTTCCAGTGCTTTGTGTCTGGCTGTTGCTTTCCTTAAGTTATTAATGCTCTCATTAGTCTCGTAGTGCTGACTGTGGATCTCTAGATGGCCTGACTAGATGTCTTTATGAATGTTTTAATACCTGTGGAACAAGAAGCTGTTTGTCCATGAACAGTGACAGTTTTTTATAATTGGGACACAATCAGCAAACGATATAAATGGACTGTAGGTCATTCTGCTTGCAGCTTGCAACTTTGTGTGTCTTAGTTTTCTAATGAGAGGATCAGCTTCTGTTTCTAAAATGCATGGCTTGCTTTTTACTTGGGCTCACCTTGTGAAGAGAGTCCTAGCTGCCTGGCTTGCTGGACGCTTGCTTCAGAGAGAACTGCAGTAACAAACAGGTCTTTTACCACTTAATGATCTAAATTTGGAGAGAAAGGACAGCTCTTAGCAGTATGCACCAAAAGATTAGGTAATTGGTGAGGCAATTCCTGTTTGACAACCGACCACCAGTACATGGAAACTGGAGCTTTACTGTGAGTGGTCCTACTGAGTCCTTCTCAGTATAGTTGATCTGATCTGTTTTCTGAAGGTTTGGGATCTGAGTGTGATAAGTGCCCCACAAATTCTGTACCCTTCTGACTGGCTCACTGAGCTTTGAGCTATTAATTTATTTACATCAATTATACTTTTCAATATCCTAGAGGCTTTGCTGACTAATGCAAAGACTTAATATAGCCAAACATCCACTGATTGAGAAATAGAAGCTGTATTTCATCATCTACATCTTTAATTGAGCTTTTGCTGGGCAATCTGGTTAATTATTCCAATTACTTTTGGTTATTTGTAAGCAAAATTACTAAAGCATGAATACATAAGCAAATCTTCACATCTGCATGCAAGTCAAGACTGGAGATTAAATATCAGTGATTATCTAATGCAAAATAAATGTTTTCATATTTTTTGGAGAAAAAATATTCAAACAACTCTTTCCTCCGAGGCTGCATAAATTCTGCTGCTTTTAAGTATCAGAATCCCAAACAACAGGGAGATCTCTGGATGTGTGTTATGTCGCATAATAATACTTTGATTTGCTCTTGAAGCTCTTGTTGATTTATACTGGTGCTAATCTCTGAGGCCTACAAACAGAGTAATGGGTTTGGGGCTGTTATGTGTGCAAGGTGTCTTTTTTCATGCCTGGAAAATTAACTTTCTTTTCCACACCATAATAGAAGAAGCGTGGGCCTTACTGAAAGAGGAATACAGCATCATTAAAATAAAGATGTGCCTTTTTAAATGTAAATGTACAGCAAATGCTTAAACTTGAACCATTTCCTAGTGCCTTGCTGGACAAGAGAGAAAGGGGGAAGGGGTTGGGAGATAAGGATGTAAGAGAAAGCTTGACTCATGCAGTGTTTGTGTGTGTTTTTTAAAATGTCTGACTTTAAAGTGCAAAATTTGTGTGAACAACAGTAATTCAGAAGCTCCTGGGTTTCCTCTGTTAAATCAATATTACTAATGACTCTGGGAGGGTTTGTCACTCCTAATAGGAAGACTTGGAAAGGATGGCAGCTTCCTCTTGGTACAACTAAAGCTAGACCAGAGGATGTCTTGATTAGCTGTTGGATGTTTCACCTCACGGTGAAGGCTTATGCATTTCACTGGCATGCAAGATCCTGTATTTTATTTTTAAGTATCCAAATCAGAAATCACAAACAGTCCCAAAGGCATATAAAATCTGTAGCAGAAGTGTCTTTCAGAAAGTTGATGCCTTCCACCACTGGGAAACTTTTAAAGCACGTGTTCAAATCTCTAATACAGAAGTAGCAAGAAAGCAATTTCTCAGCTTAACTTTCTTCCTGGTTTGAATGTTTTCATACTGTGCACAGGGCTTTGCTTACAGGGCTTTGCTCTTCTTTACTGGAGAGTTCCAGTCAGCAAACTGCCCTCCTCCCTGCTGCACCAAGACATCAATGTACTGAAAGTCAAACAGGCACCACCAGCAACCGGCACTGCAAGAACACAGTGCTCTTGTAGCTGCTGTTGGATCATCGTAGTAGCTACGCTGGGGAGGGAGATGTCCTAAAAGTCATATTGGGCAATCGTGTAAAAATGCTGGGTAAAAAAGGAGAAGTTTTTATTTTAAATTGTCTTTCAAGGTATGGACAGGCACTTGAATGGTTTTGACTGGAGAGAGCAGCCAGCCTCTAGCAGTCAGCCTGCCACGCTTTCAGTGGAAAGAGCCCTGGTAAAGTTATGTCTGAAACAGCCTGGCTCTGCTAGCACAAGGGATTCGGTGTACCTTGCATCCCACATCCACTCCCAACTGCTGCAGTTCATGTTTCCACTCACCTACTGTATTTCTAACCGCTTGCAAGAAAGGAGCCTGGTGCCTAAGTTGGTCCTTGAAACTCTCACACTGACAAACGGCAGTCTAGGTTTCCATTTTAGCAATCGTTTAGCATGAACTGTTTCTTAAATAGTCAGCAAACTGCTGCCAAAATGGTGAGTGGCTTTAGGTTAATATGAGAGTCTGTGGCGATAGGATTAAAAGGTCTTTCCCAGGATACATAGCAAAAGGGGAGCTGGAGTGGGAATCAGGAGCACTGGGTCCTGCTCCCAGTGTACTGGTGGCCTGTTACTTGATCTTAAGCAAGGAAAGTCTGTGTGTGGCAGTTTCCCAGCCTGTGTAAGATTTAGCTCCAAGTGCTGTATTTTCCGACCTAATGAGTGTTGTGTCCGTATTTTAAAACAAGCTGCAAGTCCTCACCTGGTTCGAGGGGAGGGGA